GGTTTACTGTCTTCTTCCAGCTGGGCTAAAGCTGTAATCTCACCAGCCATACTTACTCTCGCTGGACCTTAGCAGGCCTCTCACAAGAGGCTGGTCTTACTACATCTCCACAATTTCATCTGAACTCCTGTAAAAGTGACAGAACGCCTGATACCCAGAGCGCCAGTTTAACCACAGGCTTGTTCCTGCACATGAGCTTTTGGCCTTCACTTAGTTCCCACACAAAAAAGATGGCAATGTGCTTCAGCTTATGTTTGTATTGCTTCAGCGTATTGTATTGCTATGAGTTTGCAAATGCTGAGTCCAGGGAAAGAAATTCAAACCACCAAGTGGAAATCTGCTAGGCTGGTTAAATATCACAGACTGGGAAAGGAGCACTTCCTGCAGCAGGTGTAGTCAGAAGCGGACTCTGAAATATATGGGGTTACCCCTTTACTGTATCTTCTTACTCAAAAAGAATTAATCTGAAAAAAAAAAAAAGTCAGAAGTAAGTCTTTAGCTCTGGAGATGAGTCAAGTGCACTAGAGGAGACAACATTTTGACGTCTGACACCGATGGTTCCTTTGATAGCTAGTCATTATGAAAAAAAAATTAAATTATGCTTTTTAAATTAATAAAAATTGAAATAATGGCAATGGATAAAAAGCAAATAGTACATAAAACATGTAACATAAATAACAATATAGAGGTTAAAAAATCTAGTGGGTTTGCATGGTTCTGGGCAAAGGGATGGTGTTATGAGGGGAGGGGAGTGATGGAGTCAAGAAGATGCAAATACAATGCGCAAAATTTCCTCCATTTCCTTGCAGGGTGTGCCTGTAAGAGAACAACTGCCGTGTGGCGAAAGGATGAGGAAAGGCTTTTTCTAAACCTTTGCAGTTGCCAAAAAAAATCATGTGATCTGGCTGTGTAGCATTTGTTTTTCTTGGCAATCCTGTAGAAGAGCCAAGAAAATGAATGGGTAGAATTTTCCTCCTACCTGCCCCGGTCCTGTGTGTTTGCTTGTCAAGGGGAAAACAAAGTTGCAAGGAAGCAGTGTGGGAAAACTTAGTCACGAGTACAGTACTGAAGACAGCAAAGGACTGGAGACAGCGATGGGCTGGGGTGGTTAGAAGGCAGAGAGTCGTGTCCTGCTGGTTTCCAGACGTGCTGTAGGGAGCTGAGCAGCTCCTCCGTCACGAGCAGCGTTCCAAAGGTATGCTACCGCAGAGCTCGCTGCAGCAGCCTGCTCCTCACCCGCTTCCTTTCAAGGGCATTATATGGCCCTTAGCACATTTTCATAACAACATTCCTGTTTGATTAAAGAAAAAAAGCAGGCCAAGATTTCAGAAATTGAGTATGATATACTTTGAAAATCGCTGTATCTTCTCCATGTCCATTGCGCTGTGATCTGTGCTGCTTTGAATGCTTCCAAAAATAACTTGAAAGAGAGGCATATCTTGATTATTGCCAACACAAGTAGTTATTGATCTAAATGACTGCTTGGAAAGAAAGGACAATAGAGAAGCCACGCTCTGCTATCCACATGTTTAGACCTCCTGCCTTATTTTACTTGAGCTAATGGGGAATGACATGTATCGTGGCATGGCAACAAAGAAAATCCTCTGTCTGCTTTAAAGTTATTGGGCACATTTACATAGTAAAAAACAGTCATTAAAAATACATAAACATTTGACTATAAATATATTTTGCTAACTAAAGCAGGTCATATCCCATAAAACACCCCAAAACCAGCTCCTAATTCTCTGACTGACCAGATGCCTTTGACACAATTCAGAGCAGCCTTGGGGCCACTCTGAATTGTCGTGGCTCTGCTAAAGATCCTTTTAAGTACTTGGGGAAAACAGTAACTCGCTTGTTGCTCCAGCTGCTTTTCCTGTTCCCCAGCACCGTCTCACAGGAGATGTCGCAGGAGACCGGGAGATGTGCCTCTCCCCTCCCTCGTGCCCTTGGGAGGAGCAGCACCAACCCCTGCCCACACCTTGGTTCTCACAACACTGGCACCAGGGCAGAAAGGGTGGCTGTGAACCTTTTCTTAGATCAATTCCCATGTCCAGTAATGAGATTAGTTTCAGCCAGAAACATCCCATATAGCTGCCATGCCTATGCTTTAGTTAAAGTTTGATACTGTGACTGTTTTGTAGAGGCGGTGTAGCTAGTTCCCTGCCTCTGACAATTTCCTTTTCAGGACCTTAATCAGATGTTGTGTAGAAAAATAAGTATCTTATGAGCAGTTGTGATTTATTTTCCTTTTTGTTTTTTTTAAAGAGAATTTTTGTTCTCTTTCTGCATCTCAGTCTTTACTATTTTTTTGTGTGACTGGACTGACATAAAAGGGTGGGGGTGAACTTTTGCTGTAATTTAAAAACGTGTGTATAAAATATATTTATTATATTAGCCTTTACCAAAAGTGATTTCAAGTTTACAACATGAAACTTTCAAATTTGGGCTTGCCCTAACAGTTAGCTTCGTGAATGTGTAAATTAGAATAAAAACACATTTGCTTCAGGGAGAATTTGAGACAGGATCACCAAGTACTTTCCCTGATTTGTGTCAGAGAAAAACACAGTACAGAATAAATACATATTTTCCAGGAGTGATATATTCCACATGTGATGAAAGGCTGCATTTAATTTGCCATGAATTTACAGAAGTGTGAGTTTTAAGCGGCAGTATGGGCTCTATACACTGTCAACTTGTACAAATAACTTACAAACTCAAGGTATTTTAGACCAAGGAAGAACCAGTCACGAAGTGATCATTAATTTAGTGAGTATAACTACCTCTTCAACTTGCAGTAAAAATGAATACAACAAATAAATGTGAAAGTACCAATGGAGTTTGAGCCTAATGGCTAAATGTCTTTTTGCACAGAAATACCTGAAGAGCATCAGGGAGCAGATAGTGCCTGTGTTTCCCACTGCTGCAGAACAGCCTGTTGGCTATAATGTTTTCTCATCTTTTACGCCACCATCAAATCAGTGGGAACTCTGCTTAAAAGATTCTGTGTGATGTGACCCCGGGACAGCCACCACGTCTGTTCCAGGCTTTTCCAGCTGAGATGTGCACGCCGTACGGCCTGTGGTATGCTAGGCAAGACCTGTGTAAGCTGTTCAGAGAGCGCCTTCTTGCCCTAATCATACCCAGTACATACCAAATGTGAAACAGGACTTCATCTGCCTTTCTACCTCTGGGCAACATGACTTGTGTGTGTGTACATGTATACAAATAACATTTTGGATATATCTGGACATATATATATATAAATAGCAATATATTTCAACTTGCAAAGCTGGGCAGCTAATCCAGTTTTCTTCCCACAATAGGCATTTGGAAACCTCTGAACTTGGGTTTACTGCCCACCCAGCCAAAGCTGGCACGTGCTGCAGGTAGCTCAGCAGCGGCTGAAGCGGAGCTGTGCCGAAGTGATCCGCAGAGATATGAGTGCACTGAGATGCCCAAGAGGCCACTTGCTTTTACAGCAAGCTTTAAAAACTAGCTGGAAATCTGATATATAAAAAATATTTTTAAATTATTCATGAAAACAATTCAGTAGGATTGCTTCCAACATCCAACGCTACAAAATGCAATGGGAGGAGGAGAAAGCTAGGACAAAAGAGAAAAGGCATTTGCAGGTAATAAAATGATTACATATCTTTCCTCTTTCTCCACCTGTGCCATGAGCCCATTACATGCAGGCAGTTGCTGGCCACAGGCTGGATAGTTGATGTATCCTGAGCAGCACGAAGGTTACATGGCGTTACAGCTTCTGGGCTACAACCAGCTAAGCAAAGTCATGTCTATTAGCACCCTCTGGTTACAGCCCAGAGCTTCTTCAGAGTTGTCCTGCAAACACTATTACCAGCTAATTTTTCTTGTTGTAAGACAGTTGGGCCTGGTGGCCTACGAGGGCTGGGGTACCCATGCTGGGCGACCCACATGTGTCAGTACTGCAGGCAGATCAGAAGCCAGATCTATCTGAAAGCTTTGCAATGTCATTCTTTGGTGTGGATTTGGAGATGAAGGGGAAATAAACCCATATGGGGCTTCCTCCATTATTTAGCCTGACCAAGTACCAGTATAGTCATCAGGAGATCTACTTTGTGGATAGTTACACAACTACACTATTTTTCCAGTATGACTGTAGTAATATGCAAATATGTTTAAAATTAAAATTTGTGATATAGATATAGCTGGATTCTAGAAATTGAGCAGAAGATTGGCAGCCAGAAATGTAAGTTTTGATTGTGCATCAGGTTTGGATGGGTAGTCTGACCCTTTCCCAGTCAAACTGGATATCATGCTCATGGGGGGTGTTGCAGGGATTAGATTATGTTTGTGCAAGACTTCACATTTCCACTGATGAACAGTTTTTATCATTATTTGTACTCTGTTCTGCATTAAATAGTTTGATAAATATATAGTAGCTTGAATTATGTTTATAAATAATACTACATGATTAAATGCTGCAAGTTGCATGCAAGCAGAGTGATTGTGCTGTTGGTAACCTGGAAACACAGCACTCCTACACCTGCCCATCTTGCCTGTGTATGCGGCATACTTCTGCGATCTGTAAAGCTGCCTTTTAAAAAAATAGATTCTGTTATTTATTTAACACTACTATTAAACATTTTAGGGAAACATGGACAGTTCAAGGAGGTGTGGGTATATAAAGTACAGTATATCTCAGACATAAAGCATGAACTTCAGGAATCTCTTGTGTGAGTTTTTCATAGGGAATCCTTCACTGACAAAAAATTCCAGCAGTGCAAAATTAGATCCATTGAGAGATTTATTGATTTTGTTTGTTCTTTTGTTTTACCTGCAGCTGTTCAAAGCTATGGGTTTAGCTGTATTTTAACTATATGTTAAGTATAAAGGACAAACCTGAATGGATCCAGGTCTAAGCATTTTTACAAACATTTGTATATAACAATAATTACTTCATATCTATGTGTAAGAAGTTATGTGTGAGATTAGATATGAGCCCAAAACAGTAATCAGTTCCATAATAGCTTTTAATAAACAGAAATTTGAATAAAATAGTTTTTAGAAAAGTACAGAATAAAAGCCTCTTCCCTATTAACCATTGATATAAATCCCAATACGTCTTAAGTTTTTAAAATTGTTACATGGAAAATATCACAGTTAAAGCACAGTACTGCTGGTGCCTCACAGAATATAGATATTAAACTTTCCTCATCTTTTCCCCCTTTTATAGCAAAGGCAAAAAATACTTTCCTCATGTTGCCATAATTAATTATTAAAGGAGGCATTGAGAAATCAAACCATGACTAAAAGCCAGTTTTGTTACGCAATGTCTTAATGTCAAAACTTTAATAAAAACATTTCACTACTTATTAAAGAGGAATGGATTCAAACCACACTATGCTATGTCATGATCAAATCCTAATTTAGTTTTATTTGATTATTCAGCTGAGATATCTGTTGACTGTAAATGATGAGTGGAAGCTATGGAAGTGTTTACAAGCTTGTGTTAGGGTCTCACTTATGTTGGGTTTTTTGTGTCAACAAATTTAATTCTATGGTTATTTAGTTCTGTAGTTGTAGTTCTACTGTTTTAGCCAATGAGGAAAAGACTAGGATTTATTTGATTTTCTAGTTTGAAAAAAAATACTTGAACAGAACGTATCTGAGGGTGGAGGTGTGGTTATTTTGCCAGGCTTGCAGCACAGGTGAGAGGGCGTCCTGTTAACTCTGCAGCTGTAAGGACAGTGAAAAGTAAACTCACTGGACATGTCGTTGGGTATTCAATTTGGCATCTGAATATAGGAAAAAATTCACTACTTTGGCTGCAGTAATTTTTACATAGCGTAGTCTCTATGCAGAATGCAACCTGGAGGAAACATCCCGCAGACCAATTCTATCGGAGGCGTGCTCTTGGATTTGGTGTAACAAAAATGGATCTGAGTTCAGCTGCCACTTCTCTGACAGGTGCAGAGGCAATAACCACCTCTTGTGCTTTGTGGCTTCTAGCCACCAAGCAGCATCAGCATTCCTTCTCCTGGATTTCCTCAAAAGTCTGTCTGGCCTGCAGATCTTAATTACATCTGTGCACAGCATCTGATGGGATTTCTGACCTTATCTGTGACCTCTACACTGAGATTTATTTCTATTCCTAATACAGAGGAAAATTAATATGATGCATTGTCTGGTAGCTCTATCGTTTCTGAGTGTATTGACTTAGAAATGTAGCAAAAATTATTTGTGGCTGTGATAGTCATCACATATACAGCAGGATGTACAGAATACAGCATCTGTTGAATGAGATCTTGTATCAAAGCAGAGTTCTACCTAGAAAGGTATATATATAAAAATAATTCCTAGCAGTGGTTGTTTATTTTGATAATGAATTTTAGTTATGATTTATGCAATAAAGAATGCCTCTCTGAAAACAGAGGAGGGTGCTGTTCATAACAAACATTTAATAAATAATACTTTAAATTCTATTTTGATGCTGCCTTGCAAGCTTTTTAGGGAGGGCAGGTATATATGCAGAGGCAAAGGAAAGCATTGCGAATACTCAGTCAGCTCAGTAAAGTGATAATCTTTCAAGCCATTTTGCACACTGATTTTTAAAAGCAAATAAACTGACAGAGGTAACAATGCATTTTATACATTAAAAGACCAGGGCACAGATAAATCTTAAATTGTTATGAACAACAGGTTTCTTAGCTTATTGAACCCCCAAAAATATTAATGATGTTAGTTGCTGAAAACATGATTTCTAAATGTTTTGTTGTTGTTGTTGAGGTTAGACAATCTAGGTTTTGCTCATTCTAGTTAGAGGAAAGCTCAGTCCCTATTCAGGACTCTCTTCCTGAGGAGCCGGAGCCTTGACATGACCACATCCCAGTCTGCATAGGCACCTTCCAGGTGACGAGTCACTTCTGATCCCGACTGGTAGCTTTGGCGACCGTGAAGCACACGCCAGTTGTCAAACGTCACTATGTCTCCTATAAAGAGATTGCACAAAGTTTAATAGTGGGTATGTTATAGTTGATTCCATCAAACAGATAACATGGAGGTATATTTGTATCGACAGTTAGGGAGCAATAATTTCAAGTAGCTCGGCTGGAGATACACAGCAACAACACAGCAATTTTAATTTAGCTGGTCATTCCAAAGCAGACAGGGCAGGTTCCTTTTGACCTCTGTTTCTTTTCTTGTATAACCAGGAGTTAAAAAGTGGAGTGGTAGGGGAGTCTACACTGAGAAAAGCAGGCCTTGAGCGGAAAGGCTACTACTGCTAATCCACAAGAAGGATAAAAAGGGTGAAAGCCAGTAGGGTGATTTTTATTTGATCCGTCTGATACTATTTATACTACACATATTCTGCATTACTATTCCTGTTGAGAGAATTTTATGAGAACAAAATGAAACCATTGAAAGTTAGGGAATCACATAATAAAATCTGGCATGCCATTTTAATTTTTCTCCCTTGTGTGCCACCACTATGATAAAACTCTAATCAAATAAACCTATAGTCTCTCTTTCCTTTTCCCCGCTCCCCTCTACCACCATTTTGATGCAGAAATTAATGGGATGGATGGTACTAATGTAATGTGAGGTACTTTGTTTTACCATTTATTATGGGATCTTATAAATTATTTTATCGCATGTTCCCAATAGAGAGAATAATTTCCGCATAGACATTTTAAAGACAATAGCATCATAGTACACGAGGCAATCAGACACACTTATGAATTTACTTTTGTAACATATCTTGAGACATGAGGGACTATTAATCTCTTTCTTTTATAACTGGAGAATGAAAGAACAGAGATTAAGCCAAACTATTTAAATGTATGCACGGACTGACTTTTAAAGCATAAAGGGCATTTTTGCAGCATGTTTTATGTTCAAAACACAGCCCTGTACAACTCCAGTTGAAGTTTAGAGCACTTAGAGCTTCTGCTGATCTACCTCCAGATGTCTTGCACAGGCCACCCAGAAAAAGCAGCACAGCAGCAGTGGCCTTTGTTAATTCATCTAGCATTACACTGGCATTTGGTGTCTAAGCAAAGATGATAACTGAATTCCCCACAGTGCTGTTCTGCTTCCTTCAGCATTATGCACATTATGCATCTGTATCATCTTCAAGGTGCTCTGCAACCCTTGCAGCTATTGGGAGGGTGCCCTGCTAATATTGGTATATAGCCCAAAGCACCAAATGAAGCAGAGGAAAACACGTATGTGATCATGTATCAATTATGAACAGACACTAAACTGGGATGGCACAGCAGTCTTACACGTGGCATGTATTAACTGTGGTGCTATTGATATGACAGGTTACGATTTCCTCTATGGTTGGGGTCTTTATGTAACATAAAGATACACTGGACTAATCAATAGATAGACTCTCTTCCTCACCACCTTTCTGATTTTTTTTCTTTATAGTGCAACAATGGTAAAAGAAATCTATGAGATGAATGTAAGGATGCAGTATAAAATAAAATAGGTGATAGAAGGACGAAAAGTTCCTCTCAATAGCAGCACTAACAATGCTGAATTGTTTTTACTGTTAGGAAAAACATGAAAAATCATTGCAAGGAAAACCAGCTTACTGACCTGGTTTCAGCTTGTAAGTAAACTTGTGTTCTGCACTGTTTAATAAATCAACAAATTCCTTTAGAGCTCCATAAAACGGCCTCACTTTTTCAGCTGGTATGTCAAAAATTGTGTCTCTTGTTGCATTATTATAATTGATGCGAACTGCTTGGCCTCTGGAATCCACGCTATGAAACAAAGAAATGAAATTGAATGTATTATGTTGTTACTGAAACATTTTAAGATGGTTAAACAGCAACTGAACTCCCCTGCTGGAATTTCAGTATGTATCTACAGTGAAATTCAGATTGTTATTGGGTTGGATTTTGATAAACCTAACTAGGGAAAGGGATAATCAGGAGAAAGTGCAGATACTTTATTTGCTCAAAAATCTAGATTCTATATTCTTTAATTGTAAATTCAGAAGCAATTATGAACATTCGTATTTGATATTTTTATATTATATAGTTCTTAATCTAAAGGCTTCAAACTATGACCTTTCTTTGGCACAATACAGATGTATGTCGGCTACAGTTTAGTAACAGACTCAGCTGCTATTAACCTGTGTCTGTACCTAGGAGTTGCTCTAAGTACCACGACTTTTTGATAGTTTGTGGCAAAACCAAATAAGGAAAACTATGCTATGGTGGTGCAAAGCACCGAACAAATCATACACTGGCAAAAAAACCCCAACCACCACCCCCGAAATAACTACAGACCAAGTTAAACCACTGCTTCCCACAAGGTGGCAGGAGCAGACCTTCTTCTACCAACACGTAATCCACCATGCAACAAGGATTTTATTTTTCGATGTTGTGGAAACTACTCACTCTATAATCCTTTGTTTACATTGCACAGCAAAATCACAGTAGTCCACCCCAACATCTGTATAGTCTACAGCAGTAGAGGACAGGATCTGATATGCCTGAGGACTTTGTTCCTTCAGCCTGTTGCATACATGAAATCCATCTACAACTTCACTTTCACCTCCTGCATCCGTTTGCTTTATACAGTGGAGAAACTGAACCTGGAATGAATTAACATCTCATTACAAAAAGAATTAGGTTGCATATTTAGCAAGTTGAGTAGTATCAGTTCTCTCATATCTGTGGTTCTGTTTTTGTGGTTGGTTTCTTTTTCAGTGAAAGACTGAGTTCCTGTTACTGCAGCTTCACAGCACTCTGTCACCACTATCACAAAGGCAGAAAATTAAAGTAGCATGTTCATAAATCCATCCCATTTGGGATATCTCCTAATGCCTGCAACCTGTGAATCAACTGCAAAGCTCTGGTCTTGCTTCTTTCCTTTGAGTCCCTCTTTGTGGCAGTCATATAATTTTAAACGCATTGCAGTCTTATCTCAACAAGGAACATTAGCTTTCTCTTGCAGAAACAAAACCTGCTGTGAATTATCTGATCACAGAGGGGTAAAGGTGGCTGTCACTGAAGGCAACTAGCCCAGTGGTTCTATGATAAAGTAGGATTAAGACAGTTTCATTTCGCTTCACAGTGAAATTGCCAAGGTGTAAGATGGAGCAGAAAGCCTAAACTGGGCTCTTGGTTGCAGCAGTGTAAATCTGAGCTACTGACAGAGGCAATAAAACTCCCTGTGGCATTAGAGAGACCAGCATTGCACGAAGTGTAACTGTTCATCTCAGCCAAACGACACAACCAATGGTAACGGCGTTCACTTCTCTCTTACATGATGGTGATTTATTTCTGAGACCATTAGGAGAAAAAAACAAAAACAAAAACAGGAGGAGAAAGAGGAGCAGAGAGCAGGGTTTGTTTCAGAATCTCCTCACCAGCTAGACCCACAGACCTTGATGATGGTGGTGAGGGGGGAAACAAATAACCGACAGTACAGAAGGGGGACTTGTTTGGAAAGGATGTAAACTAGTTTATTCATGTGATGAAGCAGCTTCCCATCCTCCTGCCATGCTCCTTTTGGCCAGCAAGCTGTGGGGAGGACCCAGGGCTCCCACTGAAGGGAGCACAAGGCAACAAGCTCTTTTCTGTCGTGGCCACAGCTGGCCTTGTGTAGGGTAAGGACAGCGTGGCACTGCTGAGGAGGGCTGCAGTAACGTACGTCATGGTAAATGATTCTGAAAAAGTTCAAAGGGAGAACTTAGTTCAAATGAGAATTTAGCTTTGCATTTGAGAGAGCTAGATCTGATAATCAGTTGTGGTTTCGTTTTTTTTTAATAGGGACATCTCCTGGAAAAATAGTTGCCAGGTCAAAACCTAGGAAATCCTAAAACTATTTTTATGGGACAGTTTTGAACCTAATAATCATGCTTTTAAAAACATTTATTCAAATATTTGTAGTAAACATGTCTTAAGAATTCAAATATTGCGTAATAACAAAGTAAATAAAGAAAACTGCACTTTTAAGACATTGTTCAGCAATAATTCAATGTACTTTAATACTTTTATTTCTTACAAGCACGTTTGTATGACAAAGTTTATGGTCTTTTTCTAATGTTTCATATCAGAGTGTGAGCTTTGGCACAGACAAGGCAGTGAGCCAATTCACATCTGTATACATCATCTTCACATTTTCTATTAATGAAACCCTATTTCACTCTTATTCCACGTTAATGAACAGTATCTAAATGATTTCAAAAGGTGATGTTAGTGTGAAGTATTTGGTATTTACTTGAGGATAAATCACATTGACTTTTTGTTTAATTATACGAACAACTGATACAAAATGTTCCACAACATTAGAAGGGGAAGTTTTATAGATGAAAACTTTTCCAGGGTTATTTTTGTTTCTTTGTACCTGTTCCTACTACTTTCCAGTTCTCCGGTGAATTATGTGGATTAGACTTTGATATGACAGGGACTAGGTGAAAATGTATTTTCTGTGGTTGTTGTCCAGCTTTACAGAATGCCCCATTTTTCTCTATTACAAAAGGGCAAATAAGTGTCTAACTTTAGCAATTCACAGAGAACAAAATATAACATCTTAATCATATTTCTTCTAATATGTTAATCTCCTGAGGTAAACAGATGAGTCCTAAAATGTTACAACTTGACTATAGCATTTAGACACCTAACTCTTTTAATATCATGAAAGCAGCATCAAAAGCACATACAGGGCCATAATGTTTTCTCATATGGTAATATTCCCAATACTTTGTGAATTTCATTTAAAAATTATGCGATACACAATGGGCTTGTTATGCAGAACTTACATCATAATGTATATGTTGTGTACCCATGTGTATATAGATTGTTATATGCAGATTAATATATAATTATTTTTACATTGCTCTTTTAAAATACAAATCAGAGTTGCTGTACACTAACCATACTTCACACTATAGGAACATTACCCTTTCCCCTTTTGTGTTGTGAAAAAGTGAGTAGATTCATCTTACCCCAGGTGGATGCTGCAGAACAGGGTAATCGGTGTGAAAACATAGTTTCCCAGTTGTATAAGCCACATTGTTAGCATCTGCTTTGTCTTGCACTTGCCAAGTTGGTCTTCAGAATGAAAGGGAGAAAACATGTTAAAACAGCCAGCCAGCATGCCAGACAGTACACACTGAAACTGAAATCACAGTACAAAAGAATCATTCATCTTTGAACATTAAAATATTGTAAAATTATAAGGAAATAATGATGTAGTAGTGTTCTCCTGCCCCAGCAAAGAAGGCTTATTTCAGCAGCCCTAGATTCAAGCTAGAAACCTTAATGTCTTGGGGGACATCTGGCCCCAGTGTAGCATCTAGAAGAATGACGGCTTTCCAGTGGCGGTACTTTGCCAAATGCAAAATTCAGTTGAAGACACTAACTAAGAAGTATCTGCTAGGATAAGTTATCCTCTTATTACCGAGGCTTCAGAAATAAGAGTAGAAGTTGGCCAATTTCTTTTTATCAACCTTCCACTTCTCCCTGCCAGGTAGAGCAGATTATCAATGAAATAAGAAATTGTTAGAGGTTATGTAACTTCCCCCAAATATTATTTTTAAAGCTTTATGATCTTAAAAAATAGAGAGTATCCTTTGCAGGGGGATCCTTCCTGTAACTTGAAGACTTGCCGCTAAAGGATAATTTCTTGATGAAAGACTGTAACTTCCTCCCTTTTTCTGATGCTCTTTCTGAGAACTACACCCATTTATTTTGAGACATGTTTCTGCCTTGAAATTTGACAAAATTCAGTAAGAAAGTTTACTGACAACTGCAGGGAAAAAAAAAAAGGTCTTAGTTATATGACAAAGATGTGAATACATCATGTTGCAGCACAATCAAAATCTGTTTCAAATGACACACCATGCAGGAGAATTCAAGAACCACACGTTTTGCTTGTACAGAGCACACATGATTGAAGACAGTCCTCAGCAGATGCATGTTATAGATCCAGACATTTGTCTGGAAAAGTGTAAGTCACCATACGCAGTCCATGTAATCACAAGAGCATAAGTGATTTAAAAGAAAATATGAAACTCATTTTCCTTTGTGAAACACTATAGATCAAATATATTATGTTTCTGATGGTGTGTCTAGCATTACTTCTTAATAATAATATGCATGTTCTTTAGCCTATATTATTTTTAGACCAAAATGATTTATATATAGCGTACAAACACTTTTGTTCTAGGAGTGGTATTTAGTATAGAAAATGTGCAAAATACTAAATCTAAAGTTCTGAAGTTGTCAGGGGGAAAAACCCCTTGACTATTTGCAAATGTGTTTAACTGCCTGGGGGAAATAGCTTTTATTATTTGTTACAGCACATATTCATCACTACATGACTTCAATACTCAAGTATGATAATTTCAACCACACTTCTGTAGTTCTCAATTTTACAGCCAAAAAATAGCCCCTTATATCATCCTTGTCATTAGTGGTGAAGGTAGCTACGTTCACTATATCTTCAATTTAAAATGCTCCTGTGTCACCTGATGGTTCTACATGCAATTTAATGCATTTTAATTTGTCTCATTTATATGTAATATATACAATTGCTGGAATGGTAGTACTTTATAAAGTCATTGTAATGTTTTGCAAAAGCGGTCAGTACTTTTGTGCTGTTACACTTTGAGAGGGGAGCTGGTCCCTGGGAGCTTTCCTTCCACACAAGGAGCTTTGGTCAAAGCTCAAGTTACTGACTTGAAATCAGTGATGCTAATAGAGAGCCCAGCACTGAATGTGAAAAAAATTAACCTTACTTTGTCAAAGTCTCAACTGAGCTGCAATATCAGCTCAGTCATGGGGAGAGCCCACAAGAGGTGAAGGAAGAAAATGTGGGTAATGTCACAGGACTCTTGGCAAAGCAGCGTGGAATGGTTTATAGTTTAGTAATTAGGGTCAGATTTCAACACCAATTGCTCAGGCTGTTTGACAGAGGAGGAAATTTCACACCAGACAGGTGTAGCAATTGTTTCCATTAAGTGGCAGCGTGGGCCCAGTCTCCCTGAGCAGAAAACCAGTCTGTCACATTCTTAGTCTTGCAAAACCGCTGTGCTAGGAACTGAAGCCACACTTGAATCATTTGGTCTTGCACTTCATTAAAAATTTGAGTCTCATTCATAAGAGATTTTGGACCCTTATCCTTCTCTTGCAGCTGAAGCCTCTTGGAGGTGCAGATGGTTTAGCTATTGCAGTGGGAGGGCTGGGGCCCCGAAGGAATCCCTTCATGCCACCCCAAGCTCTGGACAAGACTTCAGGACAGAGGAGGAGCACAAGGTCTAGGGCATGAGAAGTTGGAGAAATTAATGGTGGTATGACTGCAGAACTTGTTAATGGAGTTGTGCCTCCATAACGTAAAGAAAAAAGTTAATTTAAAAGGGTAGAACCCCTTGATATTCTTATATGGCTGATACAGAGAATGTCTCTACTTTTTACAGTAATGAATTTTAGGTAGCATGTACCAAGCAGACATCTAGACAAGAAAAAAGGCTTTTGTTATTCTATGTGTCAAGGTTATATTCATTGCTGTTATATTCCAGTTTAAAATTGATGGCCCTGCTTAGGTAATGTTTTCTTTGGCAAGCTTGCCAATTCCAAATTTATCCTTTTATTTATAATATTTGGTAGGCCATGTATTTGGATGCTAGTGAAATAGCAAGGGAATTGCCTAAAGTTATTATTTTATTACAGTTGTAAAAGCCACCTCAAAATTGGATGCCAGTAAGAAATCAACTTCTGTTTTAGAGGTGAAGAGGTAGACAGTAAAATGCTACTCTACATCTGTTGTTAAGTCTGAAAACTCAATGGAGTTTCTGCTGCTGTGAGAAATATGTAAGAGCAATAAGAGCAGACACTACAATAACTGTAGCTGAAAATTAAACTGGTTGAATTAGGAGAAAAGGTTCAATAGGGAAAGAAGTCCTTTCTTCTCCATACAATTTCTAGGCTGCCTTCCAGCTACACATGTTAAAAAAAATAAGAAATTTGTTTCTTATAAAACACTTAACCTGCCCCACCTCCCCCCCTCCCCCTAATATCAAAAAATAAGCCAAAACCATTAAAGTCTTTTTCAAGACTTCATGCGATGAATTATACACTTATACATCTAAGAAACACTGGGTTAAGAAGTTGTTTCAAGACAGGTCTATATTTTCTGATATATTTAGCATGTTATCATTTCATACACATCTGTATTAAAACATCTGAAACTAGTTTTGTGACTTAATTTTTTAAAAATACTTTATGGGTAATTTCTTAAACCACTACACTTAATACAAAGTTACAAGGTTTATGCACAATTCTGCTTGTATTTTCCAGTATTTTAGGATTTCCCATCTCTCACTCTTTATTTATTTTTTTTTTTTCTTCTTTCTCCCCCAATCAGAGCTTTTAGGAAACAAACGGTCTAAAGAGTAATTAAAAAAAAAAAAAAAATCAAAGCAGTCATCATTAATGTCACCAGTAGAGCAATGAGAGCCACTAAACATTGATGAAGATGTCAGGCTGCACTATGTGTGCATGTGCTCAGGGAGGAAGGAGACTTGGCTGATAGCTGTGCATCACAAGGGAGAACAACTCTTTTGAAAAGGTGTAATATTTTGCAACCCAACTTCCATATACAGCATTTGCGATTAAAGAAACTCCTCTTAAACAGAGATAAAAGATAAACTGATAACTCCTTGCAATGCATTGAGAAATTAATGCTCAGCAGCAGCGTGTCAGTTTTGCCTGCAAACCATACACATGCAAAAGACGGTACTTGCATTTGTAAAATATTTCCCATAGACTCCATCCAATGTCAGAAGAACTCGGGGGCAGGCAGTAATGATTTAAGCAAGCTTTGGGTCAAGGTTCATCTATTTAAGTAACAAACTCATCTTGTGCACCTCCTTGGCAAGATAATTCTGCTGTACAGTTCTGGCAGCTTATCTTTGTATTACCGTGAGAGTTACATTTGAATAGGTATGCATTTACTGTATAGCCTTAACAAAGGCATCCTTACAGTGCATCTTGGAGTCAGCTAAACAGTGTCTGATCTCTGAACTGGAGAAACGACGGTCAAAATGTGAGGAATAGCGCACTTGCCTCAGATCAGCTCATTGAGTCTGGCTCTGAACTCCAGAGCAGGCTGCCTTTGTGTGTACAGTTACTTTCTCTCCTTGCAAGTTGGCAATATATTCTGAAAACGAAAGCACATTCAACAGTTTTGTTCTCCTCCTGAAAGTCTTGGCTCTGCTAATACGTGCACTGTGTCATACACATACTACTGCTTTCTATAACTGTGCCTTTTATTTAACACTGGAGCATATACTCTTTTTTTCAGAGCTGGACATTGGTCTGTATGTAGCTTGTTGACTTTACCCTGTGGCAGTTGGGTTCTGTTACTTGAAATCCAGACTAGTCTGCAAAACTGGTCTTTGGATGTCAGGCTTTGACCATATGCTCTTCAGAATTTAATTTAGTATTGCAAAATCAGCCTAATCATACACAGAAACATAATCAGAAACTTTCAAATGACCTAGAGTAAATCTAACCATGGTGGCTTAATTGGAATGATGTAAACTGGACTTCAAAACGTTCAAATACTACAGCTGTGTTTAAAAAGCAAAAAAGAAAACCACAAAACTTGACTAAACTAAATATTCTATGTATGTTTTCTTTTAAATGTAGAATTCATGGTCAATTGGAAAACAACCATAATATTGAAGCCATCTTTCTGCAGTCTAATAAATACATGAATTAGCAAATAGGTTTTAGAAATGCAAGGAGACTTACAGCCTTTTATCATTCCTTTATTGTGAACCCTAATACTTAAGGAAACATAAAAATAAGGTTTAATCAACACCAATAGTAAATCTGATTTAAACAGTGAAAGGAGCTTTAATCACTATTTGCTCAAATGGTGTGGAGCAAGGTCATATTTCAACCTTGATCGTGTATGGTACATTAATGGGTGGGAGGTTCTTTGTATTAAAACACTTTTAAATACATATATTTCTCTCAAAGTCTCAGAACTCATCCTGACAAATTACTTTTATTGAAATCATCTTTAAAGAGAGTAAATATTAATTCAAGCTGATTTTAAACAAGGTGAAGAATTTAATAATCATTATGGCTTATAACTGTACTAGGGAAGAGACAATGATGGGAACGACTAACTTTTTTAATTGGAAAAAAAAACATTCTGATAACACAACTGATAAACTGTCAAGTCTCCCTAGGGCAGTCTAGATCTGTTAGCTGAACTTAGACAAGGAAAGTACATCCTAACAGTTAATGCACATTATGGACTTGTGCAAAGCATCTGACACTCTCTCTCATGACATCTTTGTCTCTAAATTGGAGACATGGATTTGATGGATGGACCATTCAGTGGATGAGGAATTGGCTGGATGGTCTCACTCAAAGAGTTGTGGTCAATGGCTCAATGTCCAAGTGGAGAGCAGCGACAAGTGGCATTCCTCAGGGGTTGGTGTTGGGACCGATGCTGTTTCACATCTTTGTTGGTGACACGGGCAGTGAGACTGAGTGCACCCTCAGCAAGTTTGCCGACAACACTGAGCTGTGTGGTGCGGTGACAGTTTGGAGGGAAGGGATGCCATCCCGAGGGACCTGGACAGGCTGGAGAGGTGGGCCCACACAAACCTCACAATATCAACAAGGACAAGTGCAAGGTCCTTCAGGTGGGTCAGGGCAATCCCAAGCACAAATCCAGGCTGGGTGAGGAGTGGATTGAGAGCAGCCCTGCGGAGAAGGACTTGGGGGTGTCGGTGGATGGAAAACTGACTGTGAGCCAGCAATGGACACTCACAGCCCAGAAAGCCAACCACGTCCTGGGCTGCATCAAGTGTGTCCAGCAGATCCAGGGACAGGATTCTCCACATCTATTCCACTCTTGTGAGACCCCCCCTGCAGTCCTGTGTCCAGCTCTGGGGGCCCCCAAAATCAGGACACAGACCTGCTCAAGGCAGGTCTGGAGGAAGCCATGAAAGTGATCAGGGGGCTGGAGCAGCTCCCCTGGGAGGCCAGGCTGAGAGAGTTGGGGGGGTTCAGCCTGGAGAAGAGAAGGCTCTGGGGAGACCTTAGAGCGGCCTCCCAGGGCTTAAAGGGGCTACAGGAAAGGTGGGGAGGGACTCTTTATCAGGGAGTATAGGGATAGGATGAGGGGTAACAGTTTTAAGCTGAAAGAGAATAGATTTAGATTAGAGATAAGGAAGAAATTCTTTCCTGTGAGGGTGGTGAGGCACTGGCACAGGGTGCCCAGAGAAGCTGTGGCTGCCCCCTCCCTGGAAGGGTTCAAGGCCAGGTTGGACAGGGCTTTAAGCAACCTGGGGACTAGGTGATCTTTAAGGTCATTTCCAGCCCAAACGATTTAATGATTCTATGACTTATACAGTAAGCAACTTTTCAGTCTCTCTTAAACATAGCACAGTTGTTAGGAGCTGGAGGTTGCAGACAGTTTCAAACAGACAGTTGGCAGTAATTCTAAACGGCAAGGATGATGAAGAGCTGAGGCAGACTACCAGGCAGAACGGTAGATTCTTTTTTTTTTTTTTTTTTTTATCTTACACTGGTGCAGAGTTAAATATCAAAATCTTTTGAATGCCTTCATGAAAAACATGTTACAGGGCTCAGCACATGGCCAATAGGTGAAACAGAGTGGGCGGCCCTGTCAAGAACATTAGTCTAGAAAATGTAAAGATCATTTCCAGTTTTAGGGTCTAGGAACAGCTAGATCCAGTTCTTCACCTCTGAAATTTAGGAAAGAAACTAAAGGTTCTGTTGCAACCCAAGCACAAATCTGTGGTACGTTGAAGGGGTTGTAGGTTTTGGTTTTGTTGTTGTTGTTTATGTGTCTGTGGTTTTGTTTTTTTCCCCCTCTCCCTTGAGTTGTTCCGGAAATACTATATATTTCCTATCAGTGATATGCTTTAACAAAGAACCAACGTTATTGTTATCTGGGGCTTGCTATATTTGTTACTAACTCAGAAATGCTTGTGCAGCTCTCTGGATACAAATAGAACAAATGCTTCATCCTTCAGATGCTGAGAAAAGCTGTGAAGGACTCTCAGATACAATCAGGGTTGGATACCCCTAAGAATCTCCTCACATCTGTTGTTAGGATTATGTCAAAACAGAAATAGAAAGCAGCAGTATTTTCCTAATGATGAAAGTTTTAAATTGAGACCACAGTAGACTGCCAGGCATAGAAGTGCTCGACATTAGGAATGCTTTTAACAGTAGACCATGTTTCATATCACTGGACAAGGTTTCCAAGTCAAGCAGGGGGTTCTGCTCCCATTTATTTCAGTAGGATTAACCTGAGTGAATCCTGGTTAACTTTGAAACCACTTTTCCCTTTGGCATAGTAACAAGAGAGAGGAAACTGCACTTTAATGAAAGTACGCTATCTTAACTACCCTAGAACATTTATACATTACTCCCTTTAAAGCTTTACGACTATTTATCATGGCTGCTAGAACTGACAAAAGCTTCATAATATTCACAGTATTTTAAAACAGTTATTCTCTCCATCCTCCCTTTTCAGAAGACAATAGAAAAAAGATTTTAAAATGCCATTCTTACAGGCTGTTCTATGTGCTATGAGTTCACTTCAGTTTCTGCCAATTTCTACATTTCTTAAGCCAGCTTTTCTGATTTGAAGTGTGGGGAAAAATTCTACACAAACAGATTGACTCAACGTAAATGAAACAAAAATGAAGGATGAAGATTGGGTCAGAAGCAATTTATACACTGCTAGAAGTTGCTAGTATATCACAATAGCTATTTCTCTGCCCCTTAGAAATTGTTCATTAAATCCAGAAGTCAACAGCATCAATGACATTTTTTTCCATAGCTGGTGCTGGACTGATACTTACAAAATGAAGATGTAACAGTATGTCTTAATAAGTATCATAGCTTGAAGAGGGGACCTTTTGTTTGCCTTCCTCCCCTTTGCCTCACAATTACCATTCCAGGTTGATGTATTTTTCCTAGTATCACAGCTCTGTGTTTACCAACCTTACCTGCGTTGCATATGCCAGCAGGGCTTGTGTGCTTTCACAACCGAGAGGTAAGGGGCAGAAAATCTTTTCCTCTGACTTGCAGTCTCATGGGAATGCAGTCATTCTGGCTAAGGTTGAAATTTATTCCCCACTTCTATTTTAGCTTTTTTTTTTTTTTTTAGACCAAGTTAGAGACACTGGTTATTCCCCACATGTTCCGAGAATAAGCAAACCAACCAAGAGGTAAATCCAAGTGAAGAAGAACTCTTGACATAAATGTTATTATCTTTTATTCTATTATGGGAGAGAACGGATCTTTTCAGATGGGAAACCCTGAATGTCCTGGTTTGGTGCCTAGTCAGGCACCAAGAAATCACAATTATGTTTAAATGTTACTATTTATTTTTGTCAATTATTTTTCCTTACAAATAAGCACACATTCAAGTAATAGGTTTTTTTACATGCATTGTAAAAAAATATACTAACAGCTGAGAGTGAAGGACAGGACAGTATGTTAGCTAATAACGCTGCTCCTTAGCTAGATGGAGGTCATCAACTCAGCTCAGCAAGACATGACTTACCATCATCATTTGTTTACTCACCTAGTAGGTGCTTGAGGATATAGAGGTTCAGTTTACCACCTCTTGGCATCAAAAGGATGATTTACAAGTTCCTCCTTGCACTCCTGCAGGCTGAGCTCTTACTTTGGCAAAAAAGCAGTCTTAAAAAAATGCTTGCTGGGACTGGTCATGGCTTTCCAGAACAGACTCAGTTGGAAGCAGGGAAATGGGTACTCTGCTCATCTTCTTGGCAATGTGAGACACAATAATATCATCTAAGTCTTATCTATTTCCATGCCCCAAAATCAGGTTAAAAAAAAAGTTTCAGTACAGATAATTTCCTCTGTTTAACAGGGGACTGGATTAGGGATTTTTGTTTTTCTTCCTGGTATAAATAAGTGCAGCTATTTTACAGTTGTCTTTTATTTGACATCATCTGTTTTCAGGCATTTTTCCTTCTCTCAGCAGTTAGTGTTATTGCTGTTCTTTACCTACCCTGCCTGTGACAGCAAAGCAATCCTCTCATACAGAATATTAATTGACACCACATTTTCTAACATGCAGAGGAAAAAAAAAAAAAAAAAAAAATCACCTTGTTTTAATAAAATTAATCCACAAAATAGGTCCAGTGAGCTAAAGTGAAGTACATTAGAGGTGATTACATAGCCAGGAAAGCAACGATATTGAAAAACTAACTCACCCATAAAAAGTGAGACGCAGGAACCCAATCCTGTGGCCAAGTTTAACCAACTCTCCCTGCCTAGTAGCAGCTCCTGTTAGTAGCACAATTCCTACTTTCTTTAGGGTGCACAGCCACTTGTATGCACTTTCATCATTGTACATGATTTCTTCAAAAGGTATTTTGGGAAGTTGCAGGTCTGAACCCCAGTACTGGCGTTCTGAAAGGACAGAAATAGAGAAACAAGTGCTTAGCTATTTTAGCATCAAAGCTCAGGACACAGTGCAAGCATGACGTTAATGGAATTTCTGTGCATTTGTGAATACACATTCAATCCTGCAGTTAACCACCTGAAACTGGGCCCTTGAGTTTACATGGATAACAAGCAACTGTTATGATAAAATTCAGAAATACATTGCAGTAAAGAAATCATAAGTCAAATGAAAGACCATTAGAAAGAGATATTTTTTGTTAACAGTACATCATAAACGTGCACATTCCTTTTTCTGTTTGTACTGGTGAGTCACAAGAGTGATAATTTGAAACTAAGACTGCTTTGAAAGTTTGCCTAGGGTAAAATATCATGGAGCACCTTAAGAGGTATTATTGTATGGATATATAATAATGAAAATATGTTCTTGATGGAGAAACAGGAGAAGACGCACATCGGCATAACAGCTTAGAAGCAGAGTAACTACATAAATTGCATAAGGGACCAATTTTCTTTTGTAGACAGTCCTCATATCCAGTTATGTTAAATTCTCCAGGATGGTGTCATTCCTTGTCTTTTCCTCTGCAGATTATTGTGAACATTTATCTTATTTTAGGTAGACACAAATGAGTGCCCAAGTTGTTAACAAATCCAAGCACTGCTGGAAGGTAAAGAAAATAATGGAAAGATTGAGTGATGAGCAAGAAGTTGTCATGCCCACTCTCAAACAAGGTTGATTATAAGAGCGTATGACATAGGTCTACACCATAACCAGACATTTGCTGGCTGAATAGACTTGGTGATATAGAAGGTGGAACCCACAGCCATTTGTTAGAGGCAGGTATAGACTTGCAGGTAGAATAGAAAGAACTTTTGAGCCTGGTTTTCCTTCAGACCTTTTGCTGCTCCCTTCTTTCTTGTTATCCACTCAAACCAGCAGCAGCTGCATGTCACATCATCCAAAACTATAAGGTAGTGAAAATCTATACAGCTTTAAAATTAAGTGCTGCTTAGTCTCATCCTTTTATGTACTTACAGCTGCCCAAATACTGCTAAATATGTATCTTGCTCTAATTATATATCCATGCCTGTATCAATATATATAGATTTTTAATGTGTGACCAACTATTATTATTTTCTAGTATCATAGTTCCGTAATGGTTATTGGCTTTCATTTAATAATGCTTTCTTAGAATCTCATAACCTATCCTAAAGTGATCACGTTCTGGTTGAGCTGGAGAGGTCCCAAGTAGCTAAGTCACCTAATACAGAGAGAGGAAATAAAACTAAAATACTGGGTCATAACTAGAAAAACAAAACAAACAAGCAAACAAAACACCAAAAAAAAATCCACCACAAAAAAAAAGACAACCCCCCCCAGCAATTATTTTCTTTTAACTGTATTATTTTCTGAGGAAGAATGTACTCTGGTGTTAGACAACATGGCCTTATATATATTTGTAAAGATTCTCTACAGAAGAGACACACATAAATGTTCAGTGACAAAATAAAATAATAATTGCATACGATCATATAATCTAGGCAGATTTTTTGTGTTATGAAGGATTACATGATCCAAATCTCATCTTCCACCATGAATAAGTCCTAAAAATTATGCCTACAGTACTCCTCATTCAACAAAACTGTACATACCTAAATTATGATCTGGATTACAGGGCCGGAGGCTGCACCTGGAAAAGGAAAGGCTCATTCCATGTCCAGCCAGGCAGATGGACACTAAGCCCCCAGGCGCGTCACGGGAAGGCACCATCACAGCTTGCAGTGTAAGTCCTGCTCAGCCTACTTGAAGTACCAGGATACATCCCTCACCTGATTAGGTTGCCCCAGGGCAGAACACACAACTCCTCTAGCACCCATCTTGGCATCTGACCACCACTGAAGGCAAGGTGATGATTGAGCCACAACTTCAACTACAGTAGGCACAGTCTTAGGGCAAAGCCCTTGGTTGTCCCCTCTGATCTCCAGGAGCACACGCTGCCTGCAGCTCCTGGTGTGCCACTGCAGGTCACTTGGGTGTGCGCTGGCTACCAAACCCAGCACCCTTGGAACTGCTGCACTAGATGGGAAGATGATGGCTCCCACCAGATTATGGTCTGTGCAGTTATTTCCTCCTTTTATTTTTCTTCTTGCTTTGTGTTTTCTTTCCTGTGTATTTCTTTCCTTCTCCATGAGGCAACCTTAGATTTTGAGACCTGGACTTGAGTAGAGACGTCAAGACTGGGCTTTTCTCTCTGTCATGAGATCTTGAATACAAAGGTAAGAAGGAATTCCTAGCAGCAGGTCCAATGAAGAGTTATCTTAGCCTGTGTTACAGGCACTCTCAATTCCAGAGAGGAATGGCCCCTATGTTTACAGAGCTAGGCAGTCCCTTCACATGTACCTAAAAATAGCTCCTCCTTTCTGTCCCAGGACAGAACTCCCATGCCTTCCACTTCATTCCTCCCACTTTCAGGCAAGATTCACCTTTCTCCAGGTGAGATGCAGTCACACAGACGGGAAGGATTTAGTACTCATTTCTCAGTATTCTTCATTTTCAGGACTTTGTACAGCTCATGGCAAATGGTGAGGAAACACACCCACACTCACCCAAAGGTGAGCCAAGTCTCAAGACTCTCCTTAGAAGTGCAGCCAGGAGCGAAGAGCTGGCAACCTCTTCCCCCAGCCCAGGCCTCACCAGCTCTTGTGATACTTGCAGACAAGTCTGGGCTCTGGCCTTCAGGAAAGCAGCCCTCCAGGTCCCCAAGACTGATGGAGTTCTCCTTTCAAAGAGGGCTCAGAAGTACAATACCTGCTCTCCACTTCTTATGGTCCACAGCAGCAGAAGGCAGCTAATGAGGGAAAGCCTGTCCAATTATTCCCGTCTGAGAGCCTGCATAACAGAAGCAAGTTTTGGGAACCTGCTGGGGGAAAGTCTTTCCTGTTACTCATATCTGAGGACATACATATCTACAGTGGCAAACTCCCCAAGATTATTTTTTTTCTTGAACATTGTCCCCCAGGTAAGCACATAGTCCTTCAACAGAACTCCAACAAGGACATTCACTGCCGTGATTGAATGGTCATGCACCACAGAGCGAGGTAGCCAAACTGGTGGCCTGTTGTACACAAAAAGTAGAAGCACGTTAAGCAAGATATGGGGTGTGATTTAAACACAGATATAGCCACATTAATATTATGCAACCAGGGACTGCATAAGCATTTTACAGCATGGTATTACTTCTAATTGAAAAAAACAGGAATTGGCATTTTCCAAAATATCTAAAAAACATACAGAATAAGTAAGCACAAAGGGGAAGACAACAGCACATGTGAAGTGTAGGAAACAAGTATAAGCAGTGTGAAAGACAGAACAAATCCACATGTACAGAAGGTAGAGAAGATAATTGGTGAAGCCAAAATAACCCCATAGGATAACAGGAAATATGCTCAGAAAAAAAAAAAAAAAACAAAAAAAAAAAAAAAAAAACAAAGGAAGTCCTGGTTGCAAAAATTAAACAACTCTGTCAGGAGGAGATGTACTGTCCCCTATCCTTTTACAGGAAGAAATAGAAGAATAAACCACTGATAAACAATGAGAAAAAACAAGGGAAAAATGAAAGTATACTACTTCAAGTCTGGCTTTCTTCACCAACAGGTACTTCCCCTCTTACCTTAAAACCTGTGCAAACCCCAAAATCAACCCCAAGGCACAACTGCTAACATCAACTGCCCCACCTCCCTGCTCTTTTATACTCATGGCTAATTTAGGACAAGCTTGTTAAGCACTAATTGTTTACCTGTGTGTCGACTGTGATTAAGGACTAATCCTTAACGATGTACAGTGTTAATGAATGTCACTCCAGCAGAGCTTGTTTAGAAGTTTCAAATAGCACTGATGTCTTTTCAACATATCACTGAATCCCTAATGGCCATATGTAAAAATAAAAGTATGTATGGACAGACACACAGAGAGACTTTGTTGTACCAGACAGAAAAGGTGGAGCTGGAGATTTTTTATCTTTCTGCTCCAAATTCAGCAGCATCATCCTATTCCCCCAATAAAACTGAGTGCACGAGGTGCTACAGGGTGGGCAGGAGAGCAGAGCTGCTGTGGAGACAGGCCAGGAGGCACTGGTGCCACTGGGACGGGCTGCTGGGGGTGGGCATGGCCAGGGCCTCGCAGCGGGGGTGCCCGGTGGGCACCTGAGGAACAACCAAGGGTGGAGCTGGGAAAGCAAACCCATGTGGCATGTTGGGGTGAGGGGGAGCTACACTGCGGCCCCACCCGAGACGGGACACTGAGGCTATTGAGGACACCAGAGCCCCGAGCGGGTTCCTGAATGGGGGTACATAAAAGAGAAGTCAGTAGAGGAAAAGAAGGTCAGGTCCAGACTGTGAGAGCACGCTGCGGCCAACTGAGGTCAACCGATCAGCCCGTGGGGTTACCTGAGGTCAAACTACTCCACCAACTAGATTTTGGGGTTACTTGAGGTCAAATGCCATGACCAATTAGACTTCGGGGTTACTTGAGGTCAAACTCATAAATTTCTGATCATCTTGGGGTCACCTGAGGTCAAGGGATTACTTGAAGTCAAACTCCACCAACTAGACTTTGGGGTTACTTGAGGTCAACCAATTAGCCTGTGAGGTTACTTGAGGTCAAACATATTCATCAACTAGACTTTGGGGTTACTTGAGGTCAACAAATGAGCCTGTGGGGTTACTTGAGGTCAAACTCATAAATTTGGATCACCCTGGTGTCACTTGAGGTCAACTAATTAGCCTGTCTGGTTACTTGAGGTCAAACTCCACCAACTAGACTTTGGGGTTACTTGAGGTCAAACTCCTCCACCAACTAGACTTTGGGTTTACTTAAGGTCAACCAATTAGCCTGTGGGGGTTACCTGAGATCAAACAAATTTTGGCTCATCTGGGGGTCACCTAGGGTCAAGGGGTTACTTGAGTTCAACTCATTAGCCTGTGGGGGTACTTTTGGTCAAACTAGTTCA